CAAGATTGAAGCTCTGCCAGAGTTACAGGGGAAAGTCTCTTTTAACATTGAGCTATGCCAGTGATTCCCAACCAGTGGTGGTTCGCAAAAATAATATTGTAACGGCGGATTTTTTAAAACGCCATTAAAATAAAAATAAAAATAAAATAAAGAACACTGTAAAACCCACTGTAAAACAGATTGTTCGCCGCCTGTTTGTTAAGAAATCTATAATAAATTTCAATATTTTCCTTTCTTTTTTCCTTATTTGTTTTTCAAAATTACTTCATCAGTATCAGATTATATCAACAATTTTATACATTGTAATTTATTCCTCTTATTCAAGTAATCAAATACTATATTCTCTTTTTATTACAAACATTTATATTTAAAACATTTTACCAATGTGATTAGTATCATGTTCTGCTTTATATTTAAAATCATTGCAGCAGTTTTCCCTTCTATCTATAATTTTTTTTTTATAATACAATTGGAAATAAATATCAAATTAAGGCAGTTTACTACAGATTTTAGAATTAGGTACATGTTCACAACCGGGAACTGGGAGAGTAATGTTGTATTAACTGTCTATTTTGTCTGTCTGTTGACGTTCATACATAGGCTTAGCACTTGTAAAGCTTCAGTGATAGTGATACTGTGACTGTCAAGTTCTTGTGTAAATGATTTAAAAATTATTAATTTAATTACTATTATAGCTTATTTTTATTATGGATCGATGGTTAAAAATGGGCCGTTTAGAAACGAGACATGATAATTGAGATGATAGTACTGAAAGCTGTAGTGAGGTACCTTTTCACCAGATGATAAACAAAGGAAATGATGATAGAAAAGGGAAAACGCAAAAATATGACAGCGACTATCTACAATTGGGTTTTCATTTTACTGGGGATGAGTCGGAAACTAAACTGCTTTGTGTTATATATAACGAAGTTCTTGCCAACAGCAGTTTAAAACCATCACTTCTTTGTAGACATATTGAAACAAAACATCTGACACACAAAGATAAACCTCTTGAATATTTCAAAAGAAAATTAGCAGTTATCAAAAAGTGTAGCCTTCCTTCTTTCTTGACTTCAAACGAAGATAGTAAAATGGCCCTTGAAGCATCATTTCGAGTAAGTTATAGAATTGCAAGATCTGGACAAGCGCATACAATAGCAGAAAATTTAATTGGGACCATGTGCGAAAGATATCGCCCAATGTATGCTTGGGGAAAAAGCAGCAAAGAAAATTGATACAGTTCCCTTATCAAACAACACGGTGTCACATAGAATTAATGATTTGGCTAATTATGTAGAGAACAAACTTCTAAAAAGAATAAAACTGAATTATTTTGCAATTCAACTTGACGAATCGACGGATGTAACAAATGCCGCAGTCTTGCTTGTCTACGTTAGATATCTTTTTACGAATATTGTTCAAGATGTACTTTGAAAACTTACACAACTGGAGAAGCGAGTTTCGATATGATCAATGGGTATTTTGAATAGAATGGAATAAGCTGGTCTTATTGTGTGGGTATGTGGTGCAAAATCAATGACAGGAAAATTTTCTGGTTTTGGGGCATGGGTGAAGAAAATCAACGAGAAAATTCAATGGGCTCATTGTTGTATTCATAGACAAGCTTTAAGTATGTAAGAGTATTCCTGCAGAGTTATCTACTACTTTAAGTGATGCTGTGAAAATTGTGAACTTTATAAAATTGCGTGCTTCAAATTGCCATCTATTCCGTACGCTTTGTGAGGATTTTGGAAGTTTCCACGTTTCTTTGCTACTTCACACAGAAGTTAGATGGCTTTCCTGTGGTAAAGTTTTGACGCGATTGTTTGAACTGAAGTCTGAAGTTCAAGCTTTTTTTATTGATCATCTGCTTCATTTGTCTTCTTGTATATCCAATGTTCTTTGGCTGCAAAAGCTTGCGTATTTAGCTGACATTTTTTGTAAACTGAATGAATTAAATATGTTTTTACAAGGTGAGGGTGTCACCATTTTCAGTGTACATAATAGAATTGAGGCTATGTTGAAAAAGATCTATTTTTGAATTCAATGCCTGCAGATGAATGAGTATGGATGTTTCGATTCTGTCAGCACTTTTTTATCAGAAAATTCAATTAAACTTGACGAAAACATTAAAAGGAGTATATGTGAACATCTGAACTATCTTTGATTAACTTTCGATGACTATTTTCCCAACAGATGCAATACATCCATCTCAAACAACTGGATACGTAATCCATTTCAAGGAAATGTAAGTTCAGAAACCTCTCTAAATACACTGGCAAAAGAAAAACTCATTAGTTACCTTGTAAATGTTACAGTTCTCTAGAAGCAAATTTTAAAGATCAATCTTTAATTGACTTTTGGCTTAGTATACAAAATGAATATCCTGTTCTGTAAAAAAAAAAAAGCCATTTAAGTTCTATTACCATTTTGCACAACATATCTATGCGAGAAAGGATTTCCAGCATATACTTATGTGAAAGATAAATACAGAAACAGGTTAAGTGCAGAACCTGATCTAAGACTGAAATTGTCAGATATTGAGCCTAACTTTGAATTGCTTTGTTCTAGCAAACAGCCACAAATATCCCATTAAGAGTTTTTGCAAATGTAAAACAAATAAATATTAAATTCTGTAAAATTTGGTGCAAAATTTTTGGAGAAATTCAAAAATTTAACTTGACATATTTTTTCAGTTTGCACCAAGAATAATTCACTTGGTGAACTTCTTAACTTATAGCAACATATTTTCCTTTCCTTTTTTCCTTGGAGACAAGTGAGGGAAAAAAATCATCATTCATACTTTCAAATAATTTTAACAAATTGCATAAACTATTTATTATCGCTTATAACAAAAATGCCAAATTTCAAAACACGCCAATATGTAAATTTTATGCACTTCTTAGAAATTTTGAATAAAAAACTCTAATTTTTTGCAGGTGTGCCTCGAAATACATCTACTTTAAGATGATGTTACAAATTTTATAGGTTATAATTCAAATTTTTTTTGAAAAATTTATAAAAATTATTTAAAAATACAAGTTTTAAAAATAAATCATAAAAAATGGGTGAACTTTATTTAGAATGAACCTAAATTCCGAAATGTGAAGAGAATAATAAAATAAGTTTAATAAAAAAAAGAGATATTAACAAATATATGCCAGATTCAATTAACTTTGAGGAGCTAAAATTTTGAGAGCTAATTAAAAATTAATTTTAAAAACTACTCATGCAATTTTTACAAAAATTGGCAGTTTGGCATAATTTTCGTTGTAGAATCAAAATACGGAAAAAGTTGGTGTGTCATTTCAGAAAAAGGTCCAATTTTGTGTCAAAATACCTATATTAGAAAATGCTATATATAAATCTAATACATATCCTAAGTGGCGCTTTTGAGACATCAAAAACGCAAGTTGAATTTTGTTAATTGGCCCAGTAGAACGGGAGATATAGAACTGTCTCCATTTTTTTTTTGCAGTGTACATATACTAATATACATATTGTATGTTTGTACGTATGTTTGTGTATACACATACACATTCATATGTACACACATATATTTCTGGATCCGGTCCCCTGATAGCAGAAAAGAACCTTCTGTTGTTTCTGCTATCAAAATTGTAATGCTATAGACAATTGATTTTCTTCACTTGAGTATTGCTACATTAAGATGTTTTAAATGCCTCTTACTTTTTTTTTTTTTTTTTTTTTTTTTTTTTTTTAAATATAGGGTGTTTATTAAGTCTATACATTTTTGAGAATTACATTCTAATTCCAATTTCTTTTGAGGCTATCTGAAAGAATGCTATCAACAGAGGAAAGAATAGCCATTGCTTGTGTCTGTACACATGGATTAACGTATCAACAGGTGCAGGAGCACTTTGCCCGCAAATTCAGAAAACAAGCCCCTACCAGAGCAACTTTTAAAACCTTGGTGAACAAATTCAAGCCATCTGGTAGTGGTAGAGATGAACACCATTCTGGGAGGCCTTCGATAACGTCACTAGTTGAGCAAAGTGTACAAGAAGTGATTACATGTATCCTCCAGGCAGCTACATGAAGACTCAGCTGGGGACTCGATATTTCGTATACTACTGTTTGGAAAACTCTGTCATTTAAACAAGGATACCTACTACATTCAACTGTGCATAAGCTTGCCGAGGGCTGTGCAGCTCGGCAAGCCATGTGTTGTGATTTGTTGGAAGCTGTGGATAATGAGAACATAATGGAGATTATTCTCTTTAGCGACAAAGCCACATTCCTTCTCAGCGGCCATGTTAATAGGCATAATTGCCAAATGAGGGCTAATGAACAACCAATTGTGTTATACGAATCTCAGGGCAACACACCTAAAGTTGATGTATGGATTGGAATAACTAAGCTGTGTCCACCTTTCATGTTTGCAGAAAAGACCATCACTAGAGAAATTTATCTCGATATATTGCAACAATATCTTGAGCCACAGCTAGTATCAGATGGCCATTATTGACACTGTTGTCTACCATCAGGGTGAGGCACCTACCCATTTTGCCATTATTGTGCATAATTATCTTAATGAAACTTTTCTTGATAGATAGATTGGTCAACATTTTTGGGCTCCACAGTCGCCATATTTAACTGCCCTAGACATTTTCATATGGGGTTTTGTCATGTCCAAAGTGTACTGAGTGAAGACTGGCAGCATTGAACAATTAAAACAGTGAATTATGGCTGCAGCAGCTGAAATTACACCAATAAATTTACATAAAATGTTCTGGAATGTAGTGGAATGGTGGCAATTGTGCCTAGACACTCGGGGGGGGGGCACATTGAATTTTACTAATTTAGTGTTCTGTTATGTTGCATTTTCATGTAAATAACTTACATTTCAGAGTAAAGCCTGTTTAAGCAAAAATGTATGGAGACTTTTTAAACATCCTGTATAATCTAGATCATCCTTCCTATTTTATGAAAAAGAAATTTCAATGTGTAAAATTTTATGTTTGTGTTATATTTTACAGGCACCACCTAATATGGTTAGCAGTGAACAAAGGCATTGTGCTGAATCTGTCTTCTTAAATTTTCAGAAAACTAAAACACCTTTCCATTTATGTCAGTACATACTTGGTAAGTAAAAAATGTATTTTTTATATGAAAGTTGATTGCTGGTAAGTCTTTATGTAGATAAAAACGGGGAATATAATTCCTTGATAAAATAATTATTTCAACTTGATTTATTTGTATCAAAATTGTTAAAAATTCGTAAATATTTTTTATAGTTTTATGATTTAGACCTTGTATATTTTTGCATCAGATTTTGGTTTACTGATGTGTGACTGCATAATTCTATCTTTTTTTCCACTTTTGAAATTGAATTGATCATATGAGACCCCAGGGTGCCACTGATCGTCAATTTGCTACCTACCAGTCGCTCGGGCTGCCCTTCACAGAGAGAGACATTAACCAGGAAACCCAGGATGCTACCTCTGGACTACTAGAGCCATCTGCTCTAGGAAAGTACAATGCACTAAACCAAATTTAAACAAAAATAGGCAAAACTCTTAATTTTCAGGAAGAGAAACACTATTACAAGAAACATTTTAAATAAACAACCAAGCAAAAAGAATAAGACACTTGCAAATTAGAAATTTAACAAAGAGTTCAAATTTAGCATACTTGATAACTCCTTAAAATTTGCATACCACTGATAGCAACACCATGCAGCTTATTATGACGTGCATACACATAGATATTTTGCATGGAACAAAGTATGAATCCTAGACTATAATGCAGTGAAGAAGTAATATATGAATACTGTGTCAACCACCTATTTAAAATACTTTGTATGTAACCTGTATTTCTCAGAATATAAAACACCGCAATTTCCAGGATAATAATGCCTTTTGAAGTGGTAGAAGCGGTATTCTATCCCATTCCTCCCGAACAGCTTTTCAGAGTCCTGTTAGGGTTTTGGGACAACGTTTGGATAATGCAGTTTTTAAAAGTCCGAAGCACAAAAATCCATAGGTGACACATTGGAAGATTTAGTAGGGATATCAGTGAAGGGTATGGTCTTGATACCAGTTTTTTGTTCCATTTCTTTTAGGAAATTTACAGTGGATTTTGATGTATGATTGCTAGCTTTGTCCTGATGAGTCTCACAGATTGATGGCACTGTGGGTAAAGTGATGGTATTTCATTCAGAAAAATTGGCAATAAAATATGTTCCGATAGTATTTGGAGTTAATCTTGACATTTTTTTGCACTCTCTTTATTTTTAATTTGCCATTGTAAGAAAAACCAGCAACAATCATGAATCCCTTAGAAAAACTTTCTTTTGATTCTTTGAACCATGTACTTAAGTTTTTTTCTCCCCTTATATGATAATAATGGCTCTTTTTTTGTTACAGTCATTTAATTACACCCATGCTTCATCTTGTGACAATTGTTTTCCATTTTTTTTTTTTTTTTTTTTGGATAAGTGTTTCTCATATAGAATTCTGCAGCGTGTCCTGCGTTGAGCGATATGCTTTGGAAGAAGACGATGCACATTGCGTTTTTTCGCTTTCTTAAAATTTAAATCAACGTTTATTATTTTCTTTACAGTGGACACCGAGCATTTTAATGATTTTGAAACTGTCCTTTGACTAGGGGGATTTTCTTTTAACATTAAACAACATACCTTTGCAATAGTCAAAGATGTCCGTTTTTTCCTTGGATACTTGTTTGGAATTTTTGCCCCACTTGAGGCTCCTATTTGATGTTTGTTTCCTTTCTTGTTGATGATATTACCTATCAACGCTTTAGATGTCACAAAACCATGTCTCTCACATCGTTTTTGGGTAACGGAGTATGAATATTTCTCTTCGGAAAGAGCGTAAATGTAGCCTTCAAACCACTGCTTTGTTAAATTCGCCATTTTGAATAAAAACAAAACTTTCAAGCCACAAACTATAATTTTGACTTTTAAAAACATAGTACAATTGCAATTACTTCTTTTGCAGCAAACGATTTTTTATTTCCGCTTACCAGAATCGTCTAAAAAATGTGCGAAATGAAAGTCAAACAGGATCCGACATTGTTATAGTATATTGCCGAATTTTAGTAGAAACAAGAAAAAATAAGAATTTTAACAGACGCCTTTATGCCTATATGTTATGCAATCAAATATTTTATTTTTGTATTGAAAGTTGATTACAATTTCTGATTCGTCAGGAAAAAATATAAAATGTTGCAACCAGCTTTCTTGTTTGCCCTCGTATTTCAAATGTGCGTTATTATAATGGTATATTCTTCTTTTTACATATTCTGACATATGAAAATTATATGAATGTTGAAAGGAAGATGTTCTACTTGAAACTTCAATTAAATGGAATAAATAAATACGCTGAAGGAATTTCTAGAAATATTTGTTTTAAAAATTTTATTATTAAGATTTTAAATCCAAAATGTTTTAAAAGCTAAAGGAAAAATATGTATTTCTTGAAACATTTTTGGAAAGAAATCTATCGATATAAAATCTCTTAAAATTAATGGAGTGTAAATTAATTAAAAAAGTTAGTGTACGGAAGGGTTAGATATACTCCGCACAAAAAATTACAGTCAGAAGAGCAATTACTTGAAGAATTAAATTAATTACATGAAAAGAATTTAAAATAAATTAACATCTGTCCAAATGTCAATGCTAACAGCAATAGCACGAATGAAAGTTATTCTTTAAATTCCGAACTTAATTCATCCGTCGGTACGCAATGATTGTGTCTTTGCGATTACTTTTCTTATAGATACTACAAAAGGCCACCAACGAAGTAGCGGTAAAATCGTTAAAATTGAATACTAATAGTTTGAAGCGGGTTCAAATCCTGACGAATGGATTGCCTGCATACCAGTTTTAGCGAATTTTTGCTGCCCATGTTTAATGTGAATATGAGGCAATTTAGTTAGCTTTTCATGATGACGTGCCTTGACTACGAGTCCTCGCTCGGGTTGTGTTTGGTTTGGCTTGTTAGATTATTAAGCACGTGAAGGCGATCTGTCTAAGGAGAGGTATGCTTTCGTGACAGATTTTCTAAGGGAAACAATCTCGCACTACAAAAAGTTAAAACCATAAAAACGCCCATGCAATCAGCTTGTTCACGGGGGTTTGAATGCAGGTCAAACTACCAGTATGTTAAGAGAAGCGATTTCAAGAATGTTTAATTATTTTATTTAGATCGCTTCACATTACTGAAATGGCAATAACTTCGAATTATACTATGCTACCACTTTTCCTCTAATATGAAATTTTGAGCTTTTCTGTTTTCGGACAGCCCACCAGCGACTGAGCGGAGTCTAACGGAAAACTGGTGGTTCTGTGCGGGTTTCGAATCCCGGCAAACAAGCTGGCTGTCAGGATGATATTATTAGTTTTCCATATGTGTAACATGTATTTAAGCCAATTTCCATTAGGCAGTCCTCGAACGAAGGCATCCTTCACCTTTGGCAAATAACTATCGAGTACTTTGCCATAATCAAATAAACCACTATCCATAACATGCTTCAAATATTTTTATGTTGAAAAGTGCATGCGCCAAAGTTGGGCCCCGTTGAATGAAATATGTTGTTTATTTTTCCTTTGTTTTTTTATAACAACAATGTTCTTGTTTTCAGAATCTTAATTATCAATAAAATTCTTTTAATAATATGCGATTCTATTTTGTTTTTTGTTTAATGAAAAATTAATTTAAGCAACAAATTTCTTGCGTTTAGAAAAATTTTCGATTTTCGAAACGAGTTGCTGTCAAAAACACATCTGCTCGCTGCTGCATATATTTATTTAAAGCAAACTGCTTGGCGCCTGTGCTTTTATGCAGTCAAAAGTTGTTAATCCAAACTCGTTGGCACTTCGTCGATTCCGGATTATCGATTTTTCCGCATTATAGATCATCAGTTTAAATCTGGTAAGATGGCATGCAGAAATTACAAAATTAAAAATATGAGACTGTAATTTATCAAATAAAGAACAATTATGATCTAAAGGGTATCAAAATTTACAAAAAAAAAAAAAAAAAAAAAAAAAAAGCTTAATATTTATTTGTTTAATTTATTAAACATTTCTTTCAATGTAAGTTGTTTAAGTTGCTTCGTTTCATGTGATAATACTTTCTCTTTAATCCTATTAAACAGACATAATTTCTTGTTTAGTTACAAATTTCTGCTGTTCAAGTCCTATAATTGCTGTGTCGAGAATACCGACTAATTTGTCAATCGAATTTTTTTCTTTTTCAATAACCTCTGTTACTTTCTTCGCTATCGGAAGCGAATTATAATGACGAGGAATTTGATCAAAGATGAAAATCATATCAAAGATGGAGTTCATCGAGATGAAATACTACATGTAGCAAGGAATTATAAGGCAAATAAAATAAAAACATCTGCTCTGAAGATAAGGATAGTGCTGACAGATCAACTTCCAGTTCATTGTGTGCCGCGACATCCCCCCCTCCCCACAGAGCAGCGAAATTGATAAACAGATTTTGGAATGGTTAGATAAACAAAGGATATGCCTTTATCCATTTTTTTGCAGCAATTCCACTTTTTGTTTCATAGACATCGAAACATGCTTTCGCTTTGTAAATCCTTTGGCAGCTCCAGATTCGGAAATTCTTTTTGACATTATGTAAAGTTCAAGCTTACTTTTATAAAATTGCTCTAACAGTCTGCAAAAAATAATAAGCAGGATCCAATTCGAAGATTAAGGAACAACACAATCTGCAACATTAACTGAATTAGATAATTTTAGCTTAGCTTATACCCATAATCCCATAATCCGGACCTCAAAGCTACAAACTTTCTGCACATGCATCGCGTTGACACATGCGCGCAAGACCTTTATGACTGCGATTGCATTGTTCCTTAATCTTCGAGTTGGATCCAGCTTATTATTTTTTGCAGACTGTTAGATCAATTTTATAAAAGTAAGCTTGAACTTTTGATTATGTCAAATAGAATTTCCGATATTTATTTTCTAATATGTAAAGGATCTACAAAGCGAAAGTATGTTTCGAAGTCCATTAGACAAAAAGTGGAATTGCTGCAAAAAATGGATAAAGGCATATCCTTTGTTTCTCTAACCATTCCGAAATCTG